TATTTAATCCCTGCTCTTGGAGTCGAAGTAAATGACTTTTAAAGGATGTAAGGTTGCATTAATAAACCAGCATAAGGCCGTGTTTTCAGAAATGGTGGGGTTTGCACTTGGGTCACTCTCTTCGGTGCATTTATCAAAGCAAGTGTCATTTGCTTAAACATAATATGTAATGGGGTTTTTACATCAGAAACTATCTACCGGTCCATGACCTACTAGGAAACGATGCCGCTACGAAATCCAAGTCTGATTTTTAAAAGAATAACTGCTAAGTAAAGAAGCACTTTAGAAAATATTACTGCCTATGGGTTTTCTACAGCTACGGAAGTAGCGAGTTGTCTCCATCTAGGATCACCGCGGAGGTTTCCCATTCTCCCGCAGAGCAGCGCAACCCAGTGAATGCTGCGGGCGATCCTTGCGTGTGTAACGGTGGCACACGGCCGGCACTACAGCTCTGCTTCACCAGAACTCATTCTGAATGTACTACTCAAAGGAGAGCAGCAGCTACCCCAGGAACAAGGCTGCCCGTCCCACCTCAGCCCTAACAGGAAAGCCGGCGCCTCTGCTATCCGCTCGCGCGGTGGAGCAGCGTCTCCTGTCCCCTTGTGGCTGCCTCAAGAACTTCTACCAAGCCAAATCCACGCCCAGGAGATCACATTTCTTCCTAACTCGGCCTTCAGACCCTGCAATCCAGGTCTTTCCCCAGCCTCCTCCTCGCAGACGGGAGGTTAGAGCAGGAACCGCTGCTGTTTCCAACACAAGGGGATCTCTGGTATCTTCCTCGAGCACCTTCGCGAATTCAGTAAACCAAAACCGCTGTCTGAATGTGTTTCTCTGGTTTGGCTAGGAAACAACACCCTCGTCTTCATCTCTTCCAAGTGCACAAGGAAAATTTAGGAATGAAGTACTGAAATTATTATTCCAGGAAAAGGATGAAGAAGGCTTTTTTTTGTGCCCTTGGGGAATTAAGTATGTCCTTGTTGATGAAATGTGGTGAAACATGGGTTGGAAGGAATATTTTTAAATTAAATTTCCACTCCAGTTAGGGCTTTGGGTTTTTGGGTTTTTTTTATTGTTTTTGAGAGGAACATTCAGGTGCAGAGCCAGGTTTCTTGTGGAATACCTCAAAATGGCTGTGGATACCAATTTACAATTTTCTGTGCATGACTTGTGTAATTTCTGGTGTACAAAGCCTCGGGGGCCTAAAAAACAAGCAAAGGGATTTTCAGAATGCAAACAAAGATGCTAAAATACAACATCTTACCAGTGGTAAGGTGTGTGATTGCCACCAGTCATCACTTCATTTGTGGCAGCAGTGCAAGCTGCCTCTCCTGGCAGGGCTCAGGAGAAACAACCCAGCAACCAAGCGTTGGTCCAAAAGGCAAAAAAATAACACTTTGTTCATCAAAAAGGGATGTGTTTATCATTTGGAAGTAGATTTCATCTCACACCCCATAAGCATCGACCTCATGACGGAAATCAGATGTGTATTTCACCCTGGATATGCTCTTAGTAGAAACCTTTGTGTGTAATAAAGTAGGTGAATGTTGAAGCCACATTTCCTCCCTCCCTCTCCCCTAACTTTCAGTATGACTTAGCGTTAGAATAAGGGAAGAAAAAGAACTGGTTGGTTTACTGCAAAGTGTTCTATGTTTTTCTGTGAAGAATGTACAACAACAGGGCTTTGAATGGTGATAATAGCACATGTCCCAGTCCTAAAATTTGAGCACCAAACGAGAGAACCTCAGTGCCCTGAGAGTGGGGCTGAGGTGGCGGCAGGCGGGCGAGGAACAGCTCCTGGGGGAACCAGGACAGGTTTTCCTACAACTTCTGTTTCAATTTCCTATCCTCTGTTTTATTTTTAAATGTTACATGATTTTTATTGCTTGCAAATGGAATGCTACCTGAAATGTTTTTGGTTTTGTTTTTGTTGGTTTTTTTTTTCCCCCCAGTCGCTCTGTTAGGAAATGTGAGCCTGGAAAAGGAAATTCATTATGAGCAGAACTCGCCAATAAAATGTCACTTGTTTGGGTAGTTTTTACGGAGTGGTCTGTCCATGCTGATGTTACCAGTACAGGTTCTCTTGGAAAATACAGAAAATTTAGGGTGATACGGGTCTAACAGCTCGTTTTTCTTTTCAAAACATTGCTGCAGGATCACACAGAACATGAGCAACACTGGTTGGGACATGTACAAATTCAGGGGCTTGTGTGACTGAGGGCACTGGTGTGAGATGTACCTCCAAATATCAGTGTTTTTTGTGGCAGAATGTGACATGCACCTCCAAATTTCAGCATTTTAATAGTCAAGTGCACTTGGGTAGTAGGAGGACAGAGACAGTCCCCCATCAGGAGAAATTTGAATGGTGTTGCTAATTGGATTCATTCTCCAATTTTATTTATGGTGAACACAGAGGTAACCCACACAGTAGCTTTCCCTGAAGAATCCTTCACGAAGACTCCTTCACAACAGGAGGCAGCTTGGTTCATAAAAAATACACTGTTCTAGTATTAAATGCCCTCTTGCCCTGATGCGTTGCCAGAACACTCACTTAAGTGAAAAAGACTAAGCAGGAGGGGAGTGCTTGTCTTCACTTTAGATGCTCTAAACCATCGTATGTCTCTGAAGATTAGTTTTAGGCAACTGAGTGGTGTTTTACACACTTCATTATGACCTTTACACATGTGTTTAAATGAAGAAGCAGAGCCCCTTGCCCAAGTAGCATGGACCTGTGTGGCAGGTAGGTTTGTCTGCGCTCCTTCAGCCTGGAAACTTTCAGGTAGGTTTTAATGTGTGCCAAAGGAGGTTAGAGCTGCATATTAGGAGAACTTCCCTCAAAGGGTGGGTTGGGCACTGAACAGGCTCCCCAGTGAATAGTCACAGCCCCAAAGTAGAGTTCAAGGAGCTGCCAGAGTTTGGTCAATGCTCTGAGGCACAGGGTGAGATTAGTGGGGTGTTCTGTGCATGGCTGGGGGTTGGACTCCAAGATCCTCGTGGGTCCCTTGCGGCACAGGATAATTCTGTGAGTCTGTAGTAGCCGTACAAGAGCTGCTGCTCTCCCTCCCCGCTGGCCGCGCTTTGGTCTGTCAGTGCTCGGCGGCGGGAGAGCCGTGAGGGGAGAGGAGGTACCGTGAGGCGACAGAAGGGACTGTGAGGAGAGAGAAGGGTTCGTGAGAGGAGATAAGGGATCATGAGGGGACAAAAGGATCCGTGGGCAGAGAAGGGTCCGTGAGGGGACAAAAGGGTCTGTGGGGGGAGAGAAGGGACCGTGAGGGGACAGAAGGGATCATGAGGGGAGAGAAGGGACCGTGAGGTAACCAAAGGGTCTGTGGGGGGAGAGAAGGGACCGTGAGGGGAGAAAAGGGTCTGTGAGGGGAGAGCAGGGACCGTGGAGGGAGAGAAGGGACCCAGAGGAGAGACCGTGAGGGAAGAGAAGGGACCATGAGGGGAGAGCAGAGACCGTGAGGGGAGAGAAGGTACCGTGAGGGGACAGAAAGGACGGTGAGGAGGGATAAAGGACCATAAGGAGAGAGAAGGGACCGTGGGAGGAGAGAAGGGTCAGTGAGGGGACAAAAGGGTCTGTGAAGGGAGAGCCGTGAGGGGACACGGCAGTACTGCTTCTGAAGGAATATGGCTGTACTGGCTCTGAGGGAACACGGCGGCCGCGCCTTTGAGGAGATGCGGCGGTACTGTCTCTGAGGGGATATGGCGGCACCACCTTTGAGAGGATACAGCGGTACCGGTACTGGGGAATATGACGGTACCGCCTTTGAGGGCATACAGCGGCACCAATTCTGGAGAAATATGGCGGTACCGCCTCCGAGGGGACACAGCGACCCCATTGTCTGAGGGAAGGGGGGAGGAGGTGCCCGCG